AATAAGACCTAACCTGAAAATAAGCCCTAGTATGATTTTTCAGGATGCTAATAATAAAACCCCTACCCCAAAAATAAGCCCCAATTAAGTGAAACCCTGCCCTCCACTATTGTGCAGCATTGTGCAGCAACCAGAAGAAGATGACATAACTGAAAAATAAAGCATCCCCTGCAAATAAGCCCTAATGCATTTTTGGAGCAAAAATTAATATAAGACCCTGTCTTATTTTCAGGGAAACACGGTAAAAATATTGTTAAAGAGAGAGAGAGGGAGGGAGAGAAAGAAAAAATGCTGTAGTTTGTGAGGATGAAAAACTTGAGAAAAATGAATGAGGAAATAAACAAGAGTCTGCTAAAACAAACTTTGGAAAAAATATTGAGAAATAATAATACAGTAATCTGATTAGATGAGGAAATTCAGACTGAATGGGGCTGGGGATGAGATGGAGGTATGAAGAGGTGTGGCATCCACCCTCATGCCCCTTTTGCTTGACCTTCAAACCTCAGAGCACATGAAGGCAGACACTCTCTTTTCACTGCTGCCACCAGACAATCTCTATATCATCATTACTTCAGAAAGATTTAGGTCCACTCTTCAAGTTCTTTCAAATAAAACTTTATTGATTACAGAGATTGATTCATAGATATCTTCAGTAGCTAATCACACCTCAGAATTTCCCAAACTACACACACTATTACTCTCTCTGACTTTTCTCTCTTGCTTGCCTGACTTTTCTCTACTGTCTGACTCTTACTCATACGGACTGATTGACTTAGGCTCTGCCTCTTATAGCATCTCTCCCGGCTCCGCCTCTCAGCAACATTAATATTATTATTATTATTTATTTAATTTATATGCCACCCACTCTACCCAAAGGTGCATGAATCATTCCATTACATAACAAACGTACATAATATAACATGAACCATAGACCTAATAGAGAACGCTACAAGAGGCTACAGAGAAAATTACCTCATTGTTTTGATAGGTTGTTTTGTGGTTCACATTCTTAAATGTACATATATATACATCTGTCCATACATATGAGGGAGAAATCCAAAATATTACTTTAACCAGGACTGGGTGAGGATCCCCCACCCCCAAAATGGAATAGCCAAAACATTGAAGAGAAGCACCATATAGAATCATAGAAAAGTGAAGTTGGAAGGAGCCTACAAGGCCATCAAGTCAAACCCCCTGCTCAATGTTGTGTGTTCTGCATTTCGGATGATCGAGAACAGATCTTACCCCTCCTCTGTATGACAGCCTTTCAAATATTTGAAAAGTGTTATCATATCACCCCTCAGCCTTTTCTCAAGGCTAAACATGCCCAGTTTTTTCAGCCTTTCCTCATAAGTCTTGTTTTCCAGCCCCCGATCATCCTTATTGCCCTCCTCTGCACTTGTTCCAATTTGTAAGCCTCCTTGAAGTGTAGTGTCCAGAATTGGACACAGTACTCAAGGTGAGGCCTAACCAGTGCTGAATAGAGGGGGACTAGCACCTCGTGGAATTTGGAAACTACCGTATTTTTTGCTCCATAAGACACACCGGACCTTAAGACGCACATAATTTTTAGAGGAGGAAAACAGGGAAAATATATTCTGAACCAAATAGTGTAATAAAATTTTTAATAAACTATAACAGAATAACATTTGAACCATGTAAAGTGAACAGCAGTCAACAGTGGCATTAAGAACCATTACCACTGTCATTAATAAATGGAGAGACTTAAAGCTTTGTGTACTCTAGTTT